GGGACAATTAGTGTGGGAAACACTGTCTATCTCCTGGGAGATTCATAGGGCACATGAGCAGATTGGAAGCTGATTGAGAAAAACTTGAAACTTCTTAATTTTTAATGAGGTATTTCCTATATTTATTTGTTCATGGTTCCCTATTTGTTATCTTGTTTGTGTTATCAACATAACAACTCCTAACAGTGAGTCAATGTTAAAGCACAGTGTGGTGATGCAAGTACATGCCACATAAAACTCCTTCCTCTCACTTGTAACGTGAGGATACTATTACACCGACTTCATACAGTGAAGACGACAACAGTTAGTGTGTGTAAAACGAGCAAAACAGCCTAATGCTTAGAAGTATTTACAAATCATTAAAAATATAATACGAATGCAGCGAATTGATTTACAAAAGCACTTGTCTGTGTCTTTAAGTCAATTCTGAGCATGGAGTCATTTCACAGGGAGGGAGAAAAGCCACTTCTCACAATTTTTCCACGAAAGCATTTTGACGATTCATTAAAGAAGCCTGTCTTCAGGCTTCTTTATCCTGCGCGCAAGGGAGGGAATGATTGTTACAGGTTGTGTTAAAATACAAAACTGGAGACTCCTGGGCGCTAAGAGCATGCCTGAAGCCCAACCCTCCGCTCCAGCTAGGCCACCGAGACCGTAAGCCACCTACTAGCCGCAAAGCTCAGGCTCCAACAGCGCCTGTTGTACAGGGTGGTGTGAAGGTTAAATATAATAATAATAACAACAACAGCACGTAATAATTATTGAGACAAAAGCTGAGTTCCAGAGAGGTTAGTTCCCACAGTTATGGCCCGCAAATGGCAAGGCCCACATTTAAGTTGGGCGCAGCCCCCTCAGTGCTGACAGTAAGTACTCAGCAGGCCAGGCCCTGGGAGCTGCTATTGTCCTGGCACTGATTCTAAAGCCCTGGAAATGGAATGACATCTTAGAGCTTTAAGTGCTCCAGAGGTGTGAGGACGAGGGGGAGAAGTCCTTGTAACATCTTTGATCCCCCTCCAACCAATGACTCTCAGGGTGGCTCAGAAGCTCCTTCCCGGGAAACAGCTGCATCGGGCAGCACAGCCACCTTGTGAATGGGCCCCGCCCTGCAGCTGGGACCACAGACTCTCGTTCTGCCCCAGCACCCAACTTAAATTATAGTCACCAACTTTTCTGATAAACCGAAGTGTCCAGCACACTTGGTAACAGCCACTTTTCAGGAGAGGAGGAGGAGGGGGAGGAAGGGCAGAGAGAAAGAGAGAGGGAGAGAGAGGGAGGGAGGGAAAGAGAGGGGAGAGNCACTTTTCAGGAGAGGAGGAGGAGGGGGAGGAAGGGCAGAGAGAAAGAGAGAGGGAGAGAGAGGAAGAGAGAGAGAGGGGGAGAGGGGGAGGGAGAGGGAGGGAGAGGGGGAGAGAGAAAAAAAAAAGGAAATGCTTGGCTCTCAGAACCCATTTGTGACTGCTCAGAGATAAAGCCTCTCCTTGCCGAGTCAGCTTTCAGGAATTTTCTGTCTGTGTTGTATTACCAGAGTAGTTTGTTATCTTTGCAGCTTAAGGGCTGACTTGGAAATTCAGACTGTCAACTATTTAAAGAAAATGCAGGGCCCCACTCCCCTATTTTAATTAACTTTCGGAGAGGGAGGTTTCCTACTGGTTATGATAATGTTAACTTAAAATACTCTTAAGGAAACATGGCCGGAAGCAGAGTAAGGACAGAGGAGTGTTGTTTTCCAAGGCATTCTAGGGAGAGGAGTTGAGTGAAGCCATGGAGGAAAAATAGTACAGAGTACGTGGAGGAAAGAGAAGAGAGATGTAAACAGCAGCACATGGAAAAGAAATGGATAATGTGGGTTAAGCAGAGCCTTGGATGCCAGGTTAGGGTGTTGGAGGGTGGGTCTGGGCAATGGGAAACGGTAAGAGATTGTTGGAATCAATAGTAAAGATCAAGTTCATGTCTCAGGAAGCTGGCTGGGGTTATGTGCAGGGGGCAGTGTGCGATGGCGTCAGAACTGATCTGGGGACTCACTGGTCATGTGGTAAAGGCTCTTAGGCCTGCAACTGTCATCTATTAATTTGTTGAATGGCAGTGATAATAGTTATAATGGGAATTGAATGAAATCCGGGATGGGTGTTTTACATAATGTCATAAAAAGCACTCACATAATACACACACACACTTTTATGGCGGGGTCGCCAGAAGAAAACTGTCAGAGCAATCTGGGGTTTGATGAGAAGGTCAAAAGAAGGGAGCTGACAGGTGGAAGATGGAAGGGTGATCCTCAGAGCTGATCAGAGAGAATGGTGGTGCTGTCCAAGGCAGATGGTGGAAGACGAGAGGGCTGGGGCTGGCGTGCTGGTGCGTTCAGCTTTGGAAACACTAACTTTGAGAAAGAGGGGAGATATTCACAAGAAGTGGGTAGTCGATAGCAACCTTAAGACTTAGATGAGATTTGTTTTAATTGAAAAAGCCATATTGTCCTGACCTAGGAAAGTATTTGAGGCCTTCTGGTCTATGTTTAAAACTCAAAGTAAACTCAATGAAGTTCTAAAAGCCAAAAGCTGCAGCCCCCACGCGAACAAGAATAAAGTGGAATTTGGAATTGCCCCTAGGTAGTCCTTGCTAGAAAGCCCAGTTCCCTAGAAGAAAGGCCCCTGCCTGTGGACCTCTGCGTCCTCAGAGCCTAGATGGGTGCTGACACAGTTCAGGCATGCAGCAGAGGTTCCTGGAGAGAGTGATGATTTTGCATAATTTTAACTTAGTGGTATCGAGGACGAATACATTTCATTTCTGCACTTTGCCTCCTTGAAGGAATTTCCCTTTGCTTGCTCCCACCTGAGAAATATCACTTAAGAAAATAATCACAGATAATCACAACTACACAAAGCTGTTCACCACAGAATTATTCATATTAGCAGAAAATGAGAAGCAGTTCATCTTGGAAACGATGGGAGTGGCAAATCATGCCCATCAGTTTGGTGGACTAGTGAACTGGCAACTGCAGGACCCGCTCTGAGCACTTTGTACATTTTAATTCATTTAACCCTCATAGGATCTTATGGGGACTATACTATTAAATATAAGCTCCATTCTACAGATGAGGGGACTGAGGCCTGGAGAGCTCCAACAAGTTGCTCCAGGTTACACAGGTAACCAGTGGCAGAGCTGGGATCTGAGTGAGGCTGTCTGGTTCTAGCATCTTTGCTCCAACCACTGTACACTGTGTCAAGGTATTTTATTTTGTCTGATTTTCTCCAATTAGTTTTATAACAAAACTTTGGAGGTAAAATATACCCTCTCCATTCAGGGAGGAGACCAGACAGGGCGAGGGTGGTAGTAACCAAAATTCTGCTTCATTGTAAACCAAAGACAAAAGTCCACATTTCCTACTCCTCGCATCAGCAAAGCCGATGCGCCTAAAAGGACCTCCAGGTCGTTCACCGCCCGCAAAGCTGCTCTTCTCATTAATCCGCACTTACAGACGCGGACACCGAGGCCCAGGACGGCAGCCGGCTCCCTCGGGCATGCTGCTCATCTCGCGCCTCCCAGTCCCCTGCTCCTGCTGCTCAGCATGACCTGGGCGGTTTCAACACTGGGCCCCACGTCTTCAGCCCACTAGTCACCCAGGCGGCACCGGGCCGGGCAGGAGCTAAGGACCGGCTGTGCGGCGCCGCCAGGCCAGCCGGCCAGCGGGGGTCAGGCGAGAGGGCC